ACAAATTAATATATAATATATATATAATAATATAAATAATATATATATAATTTTTAGCCAATCAAATTGATTATCAGAGAGTAGGTGGAGAAATCAGCTTTATAAGTGAAAAAAATCTGCTGATTTCTGTCGCATTTCTTAGTTTGATAGAGTTAACTCATGCTTTTGATGAGTATTAAGTAGTTATTTCTATTTATATCTATTTTGAAATTTTCACATATTTTTTTTTATTGAATTTGTTTTTATATAATAAAATATTACGTCATCACATTTTTAAAAAATAGAAAGAAAAAGTAATTCAAATTAGCTTAGATTTTGATATATTATAAATATAAAATTTATTTATTTAGATTAAAATTTTGTATAATTTGAATCACTAGATATTAAAAAAATAAATTTAACATTATTATAAATTTTAATAAAAATTTTTATCAAGATTATTTAAGTATTTATATATATATCACAATCTCAATATCTAGTGATTCAAATTAAATAAAATTTTAATATGTTATTATTTGGGATTGTATCTAAAATATATTAAAATTTAGTTTAATTCCAATTTGTAAGTTTAGAGAAACATAATATTAAAGATCATATTCAAAGACTTTTAATAATTCTCTATAGTATAAATCGATTTATATGTACTATTTTTAATTTTTTTCATTAACTAATATTTTATTATTAAATTGTTCTAAAATATTAAATAAATCATTATTTTTAGTAATATTAAATGTTTTAATTCTAATGTCTTTATTAATAAGATTTGTAATTTTGATTCTATGATTAGTTATTAAATATTTATGTATAAAATATATTTTAATTGTAACAAATTATCAGTATTTATTATATGATAGTAATGATTCATTATAAGCTCTAATAATAATATATATTTTGATAAGTTTATTTTTTTTATCAGAATTATAAGTTAAAATAATAGATTCACTATTAAAGTCTAATTTAATCTTATAAATATATACTATTAGCTAATTTGTTTTAATAGTTATTTAATCAAAACTCTTATTACTTTTTCAGATTCTTTATTTAAAGTCGCTAATCTTTTATTTTGTTTTGATATAATTGAATTATTAATAAAAGTCTTTTTTTATTAACTTGTTTTATAGAAGTACTTATTATTTTCAACTAATATTCATGCAATTTTTTAATATTAAAACCAAAATATATGTACCAAATAATTTAAAATTTAAACAATTATTTTTTTGTATATTTAATTAAAAATTAAAGATTTTTTCATAATAGCAAAAAAAAAATTATTTTTTTAATTATTAAGTTTTAATAATCAATACCTTTAAAAATTTTCTAACAATACTGGTTACTGTATAATCATTATATATGCTTCATTTTATTTTATTCTAACTTTTCTATTTAGTTGATATTTTGTTTCATAATGAATTTTATTCAGAAACTTCAGTTTCAATATTATAATTATCAGGTATTGATATCAGAATCCATTTTTAGAATTTTTTTGTGTGAGTTAATTGGCATTGAATAGTTTTCTAAGAATACTAAAATAAAAAGTCTTGTTTCCTATTACATATTATGCCTTAATATTTAAGGATATTTATGACAAAAATTTCTTATAGAACAGCCATCTAAAAAAGTAAATGATAGTATATTTTTTTATTCATATTTAAAAAAAAAAGCATCATTTACAAATTTAGGCTTTCGTTCTGGTTCCCTCCTTGATTTAAACCTGACAAATATGATATTTAACTCAAAATATTTTACTATTATTTTACTATTACAAGTAAAACAAACTTATATATTGAAAACTTTTTGAAATGAGCCTCTTTAACTTTACGAAAACCAATTCGAAACCGATCTGTAACTCACGATTACAATAGTTTTTATTGAATTGTATTGGCTTTCGTGAAAAATTTATTATGAACTGCATATTTACCCCACACTTGTATAAGTAAAATTTCACCACACGTGACCGGTGACATATAATGGGCGTGAAAATAATATTTTTCACCACTTAAAAAATTCGTCCCCAACACGGAGTGTGTGACACCTAGTGACAAATATGGAGGATAGATGATCTGCATTGTATCATCACGTTACACCTGATCTTATCACCTAAATTTACCAAATTTAGCGCAAAAAAATCTGGGTCGATTAGAGATTTTTATAATATTATTATTACAACCCTAAAAAAAAAAAAATGTATGCTGTATACTTAACTCTCTTTACCTTGAAAATTTGACTTGAATATTGTTAATCAAGGATCTTTCTTGTATGAAGTTATAGGTGAATGGAATTAAAGCCTCTTCGAAAAACATACCGAACAATATCAAATCATAATATCGGTGCAAGTTGCATATCCCAATTTAAAACAAATTTCCAGAACCTGACAACATTCAACAAACGCGATATGGAATAATTTATTTCGCCATATATGACAAACGTTTTAGAACGAAGGTTGTTTTGATTCCACGGGTACAGTTTCCCCTATTTCTCGTTAACAGAATTCTAAAGTTAAAAACTTAATGATTCGCGTAAAAAATTATTGGTTTGAGTCATATTTCATTATGTATCAATATAATGTTTCGAAATTTTTTATTGTATAAACATTCATCAGCATTAAATAGGTTTGTTTAAATTAATTCGTGTAAACCAAAATAAGTTTTCTGTATATGTTATACAAGCAAAAATATGTTAAACTTAGTTTATGGCGCTAGATCCTGAATTTTAAGGTTCAGAATAAAAACGCTCATTACCAAGTAAATGTCCCGAAAAAATTACAAAAACATTGGCATAATCTTTAACGATTAAACTATCATTTTAATTTAATAAGCTATTTATTATTACCAAGGGACAATCCACGCGTTCTCATGCTTATTGCAAAAATTTATTTTTTATCGTTAAACTGCTAAAATGTATATTAAAAAATTTGATAGATTTTTTACTTGTTACCCAGACACTATTTACCCCTTTTAAATATTTTTTTTTTTTTACATATATAGAACATGTGTCATATTTGACCTTATAATTAAAATATCATTAAATTACACTGTTTTAGCAGCCAACTTTCCTCCTTGGATGGATTTTGAATACCACTCCCACGCTTTGTACACGTCTTGACCTACACCTCGACCATATAAATAACAGTCTCCTACATGAGAAAACGCTTCAAAAAATCCTTCTTCAGCGGACTTTAAGTACCAGCCGAACGATACCTCTAAATTTATATCTACTCCTATACCATACGCATAGTAATGTCCCAAAAAACATTGAGCGCCACAGTTTCCTTGTTCTGCAGAAAGAAGATGCCATCCAAATGCTTTTTTGTCATCATCTTTAAAATAAAAAAATTTTCCCATGATATATTGTGCTTCTGCATTTCCACTGTATGCAGATTTTAAATACCATTCCATCGCTTCTTTTTTGTTTACATCAGTTCCCGTACCGTATTCGTAACAATTTCCTAACATCAATTGCGCATCTCCATTACCTCCTTCCGCAGAAACCATATACCATTCAAATGCTTTTATTTCATTCTTCTTCGTTCCTATTCCAAATCTATAACATTGGGCTGTGAAGTATTGTGCTTTGATATTTCCTCCTCTAGCAGAAATATAACACCATTTAAAGGCGTTTTGTTTGTCTTCATCGGTTCCTTTTCCATTTATATAAAATGTTCCTGTGACGTATTGCGCTAAGCAATGTCCTCCTTTGGCAGATTTAAGATATAATTCAAATGCTTTATTTAAATTTATCTTTGTTCCTTTACCATGATGATAACAGCATGCTAAATTAAACTGTGCATGAGGGTCACCCTCCTCTGACTTCATGAAATCGTCGAAGGCGTCGTTCTCATCCACACCAAAATCATCTAGTACCTTGCATTCATTCATTATTTTATTTTCGTAATATACGATCAATAAAATTTGATTATTTTGTGAATTGCGCGATTCGATGTGGTCTTTTGATTGGATGTTTGCTGTGCTGTTAAATAGTGTTTCTGCTTTCTCATTATTTCCCAGCTGAAATTTATAGAAAATGCCAATTAAACTACTAAATCTGCGTTCATTATTTGAGTGCCTTTCCATTAGTTGAATAATTTCGCTGAAATTTAAGTTTCTAAACTCTAAAAGAAAAATTATCCATTTGAGAATCGTAGCTGTAATGTCTTCCTTGGCTTTGGTCTCGTAAGCTTTTAAAAGTTTTCTGTGGAAATCCACAAGAATAAGTTCTAAAAAACTTTCAGACATTTTTATTTATAAAGAAGTTCAAAGTTTGATAGGTAGAAGGAAAAGGAATTTAAGTTTATGTAGGATATTTTTACGATATGGGTCAAAGAATTTTTCGCGTTTTTATATGATTTTGCATGGCAATGAAAAAATAAAAATCCAAATTTAGATACCTTAATTGATGAATTGCATATTAATTAAAAAATTTTTTTTTTCTTTTTTTAATTCTAATTTCAATTTCTATTTACATAAAAAAAAAATTTTTTTGTTTCGTGTATCCAAAAAAGGAAAAGTTGAACACAAAGATTAGTGTTTGAAACAGAACCTTCTTAACCACAATATGTCCGAAAAACAATATATTTTCATGAACTATTGAAATGAATCTAGTATAGACATGCCTGCGGATAACAATTTAAAGGCAAATTTTGATGTAAAAAAAAAAAAAGAAGGCATGTATGGTTGCAATGAGAAAAAAAATAAAGTTTAATTAAGAAAAAAAGATTGACAATCAATCATGTTCATAAGTACATGATCGTGGTCATTGAATAAGAACCTTTTTATTTTACAACATTTGGTCCTTACGTAGGCTGTAACTAGCTTACAATTGGTTTGTTTTAGAACTTTAAACATTAAAGGGGTCTTATAATGTATTATTTTACCGTGAGAATTTTTTCAAACATTTGAAACTTGATTCTTTTATTTGTTTATTTGGGTTTAATGTTTCATTGGTTAGCGGTTAACGGTATTATCATTCCGATCATGCTTCTATACAAAATCATCACAATTTATTTATTTTATTTTTATGTGTTTGGGGAATAGTGTTCATAAGGTCAAAATATTTGAAAACTTTGATTCTTTTATTTGGGTTTAAGATTTCATTGATTTTTTTTATTTTTATTTGTTTGGGATTTCTCCTTAGCATGTTCATAAAAGGAAATATCCTAGACTTATCTATTTCGAGTGGACTCGTAAGATATTTATCTATTACTCAAGTATGATTGGTTCGTATGGTTGTTCTAGAGAGGTTGGCCCTTCGTGATCCTTTTCACTTTGGCTTTAAAGCAAACTGATCAAGCAAAGTCTTTAAAGTCCAAATTTGTAAAGGATAGTCCATCAATTCCAAAGGGTCCAACGTCCGTTTTAAGACGTCGATAACTGGTTCAAACATCTGATATCAATAAAAGCAATGTTAACGATTTCAGTGAATATAATTCAGCCACATAATTACTGCGCAAAAATAAAAAATCTAACGTTAGGCATACTTTTTTTTAATAAAATCATCAATTAATTGCTGACGCGTTAAATTATTTTTTTTTTTTTTACATTCACAAGCTTGTCTGAGGATAAGTGTACCATGAGAAAAAAAATATATTTATTAGTGTATAAATGAAATAGTTATATCATTGTAAACCGTGTAACTTGTGTAACTCGTAATTCTCAAAATCTGATGGTCGAGATGTAGGTATATTTGGTGATGTAGTTCGCGACTAAATAAATCTGATTTATGTAGTCTAGCATGAGAAAATACTTAAAGTTCCGATGTACAACTGATTTGTTTTGAAAAAGCTTATGAATGAGTTCATATGATTTGGATAAATACGGAACTTTAAAAGGTAAATTCTTTATTCTTGTCATTTGAATTTAGTAAGCAATGCAATGTATTTTACTGTGAAATTCTTTCTCAAATAGAAATCTATTACTTTGAAAACATGATTGTTTTATTTGGGTTAATATTTAATTGCATATTAATTAATAATGATTATGGTGTTTATGGAAATTTCTTCACTTTCACTAATAATCATGTTTATGTTTGAAATTTTTTTTTTTTTTTTGATTGTTTGGGCTTTGAAACTTACATGAAATATGTTTGGGGATTTGAAACTGACTATGAAATGCAGGTTTCAAATGATTAATAATTAACACAATCATATTGAATAATTATTTTATATCTATTTTTTTACATCGAGAGAAAACTTTTTTATTAAAAAAAAAATATTATTTGCGTATATTTTTAAATTAAAATTATAAAAGTATATATTGTAAATTGATCAATATAATATAATTAACAAATCTCTTTTCACTTAATAGATGGCTGAAAATCAACAAATCAAGAAGCTCAACACTTTACGTCATTTAATTTAAAAATGTGAATTTCGTTATCTCAAAGTTGGTGTTGCAAACAGACCATTAGATAAGTGTTTCAGATTATTCATATTATACATACATATTAAATTAAAAATAAAAGATAAATTTTAAATGTTGGTGAAAAGTATAAAGTAATAAAATTATCACATCAAACCCAAAACAAATGAATTTCTGAAAACGGTTAGCTCACATTTATAAAAGAGACAATTCGATAAATCAGTTCAAATGTGTTTTTACAGTACATTTCGGAATATAACTCCAATAACGTTCATAAGGATTTTTTTATTTATCTGTCTGTTTTAATAAAAAAAGGAGGACAACGGAAATCGAACAGCTGAGCGATATGATGATCTCAAATTTTTGCATTTTAAAAATTCACAAACTTTGCCTACGGATAAGAACGAACGTGAATTGTGCCATAAGAAAAAAAAATTATTAAAGGTTGGTTCTTGTTTTAACCGAATCCGTTTAATAATTGATTAATCAACTCGCTAATTATTTTAAAAAAAAAAAAAAATTTGTCCAACGTACGGTTTCCTTTTTTGAGATGAATTTCATAGGATTTAACGCGAAATAATTTAAAGCTGAAAGTATACTTATTGGCATGTTGTGAAATAAACAATTCCTGCCTTTTCATTACTTTATATTCATCTAAATTAGTAATTAGTGTAATATTCTTTCTCAAATAGTTATTTGATTCAAGCTACACAATTAGTGTATTTACGGAAATTTCTTCATTCATGATCAAATATTTATCACGAGTAAATGTAAAATTATTTGTTATTTAGTTTGATAAGGGGCTTCGTATTAGCCATAAAAGGGTATATTACAAACTGACATGAAATGAAAGTTTTACTCATGACCGGACTCCGAACTCAGATCATTTTATGTTACAAATCCTAAACTCTGTTTTTTTTTTTGTGTTGTATAAATTTATTAACGTTATTATAAATTGGGATGTGTATTATTGTAATTAAATAGTAATAACAAGTTGCGTTCCTTCTCCGTGTCACCATCTTATGGCGTATTTATTTTTTTTTTTTAAAAAAAAATTGGGATTATTAAACTGAATAACAAATTATAACATTTGGCGCGCACCATGAAATCGTGAAATCTCCAAAAAATTTTTAAAAAGGAGAAATAAAAAGTTCAAATGAGTCCTTTAACGTTAGGTTCCGATCCACAATCTTTTTATCAATTATTCGTTCCATCTTTACGCGTTAAACTTATCATGAATTCAGTAGGTCATAAGACTAAAACGGATGGTTTTTCATATAAATATTTTATCCCTGAACATAACAACAAATTATATTATATTTACAAAAACGCCAATAAATCACTGTGCAAAAAAAAAAAAAAAAAACAAATTAAGCCGAGTTAATGTTAAAATAAAATATAGTAATTCGCACAAACCTACTCTACGATCGAATCTGCCGGCCAAGAGAGAAAAATAAAAGGTATAATAAATAATTTTTTTTTATAATTCTTTACTGTCGTGAAAGGAATTATCTTTATTCATGATGGATTAAATTTTATTTAACAGAGCCGATCAAAAAATTATTAAAAAAAAATTTTATTATTTAAATTTTTTTTTAAATTTTATTAAGTGATTTATAGTATTTTTTATATCATGTATGATTTTCAATATCATTCGAGTTTAGAGGAATTTGGATTATATTCAATTGAATATATGTGCTGCGCACAGTAGCAGAAAAAAATTATCATATGTTCATAACAACCGCAGCATCACTTGTATCTCTAATAAAATAAAAAGCTTAGTATTACTATCCCAGGTATCTGTTGTAATTTATCATATTTTTTTTTTCATGAAGTTGTGAGACATGTTATGAAATGTGCAACATATTTATCAAAATACTCGGATAATGCATAATAGACCAATTTTTCTTTCACATTTTTTCGTAAATTTTGAGGAATTCCTTTCGTTTTAAATAATTTAAACAAAAGGTAGTTACGGCTGGGTAGAATGCTATGTTGCTCGAGTCTTTATCTATAGTGACCAGGCCATTATTGTTTTTAACACAAAACGTGTAAATTACCAAATTCACGCACGTGATTAGTAATTTTGGCCCGATGTCTGTTGGCCAACGTTGGCCAAAATTAAACCCCTAGTTAAAACGCGCTAATTGTAAAAAATCTTCGTTAATTTTTGAAATCTATTCCAGCTTTTTTATTACCTTCACAATACTTGATTGTACATTATAGAGTCAAATATTGAGTAAGACTCTTTGCGATAGTGCTGTTAAGCAAGTGCTGGCAATTTCTTGTAACTTTCCGTTGGAGATTTATGACTGGAAGATATAGACATGAAGGTAATGGATTAATTAAATTGAATAAATTCCAATCTCAGTTTTTCTTTTAGTTTATTGACATGTATTTTTTTAATTTCGAACTTTATATAATTTAGTTTTAAATAAATAGTGGAAGAAAAATCTTTATTCAAGGTCAATATTTTTACTATGGGATCTGGAGATGAAATTACGAAATTTGGTTTCTTTAAATAAGATTATATCGTCCTTGATCGGATTCTGAATCTGTAGCCGTATTAATACAAATTGACTCGTGCAACTAAACGGGCCCCAGATTTAGATGTTGTATCAGTTTTGCAGAACCGTAATTATAATTACGTTATTACAAGGAGTAGGAACAGCAGCGGAGAATTCTATATTGAGAGAATCATGCACTAAACAAAGAGCCGAACTCAAATTTGAATATAAAATACAAATCACGCCATTTTCGAAGATTTATGGAAAAATTTAATTGATATAGTTATAGCACTTTTGAAAATTCAATTCATATGTTCCTCGTCGTGTCGTAATCTTGGTAAAGAAAACTTTTGAAATCACAATCAGAAATAATGGTTGGAAAAGGTCATATAAGTGCAAAATTTGCACAGGAATTTGGATTGGATGTTAGATTTTAACGTCATTGGCCAGTATTGTTGCTTGGTACATTATGAGAGAGAGGCATAGGTGCTTATCTCGTAGTTGTATCGAGGAACATCATGATTTGTGCGTATTTTTTTTTTTTTTTTTATCATCGTTATTATGTTACAAGATGTATTTTAATAAATTTGATACTTGTAAATACATGGATCTAGTGTCGCGTATCGTTAAAGATACTTCTATCATGATTCTTGAACTTATTCACGAATCATTATCAAAATGGCTTTGTATAAGGATGATACTGAACTTTCAAAGAAGTCTGATAAAGTTATAGAAATTTTTTGTAACATTTTTTCCTTGTCGAACTCTTTCAACTCTGACAATTATTTGTTAACCCAGCTCAATGGTTAATTACTACAACTTTGAAAGTAAGTTTCAATTATAAAGCTTTTTAGTATTTTATTATTACGTAGTTATATTTAATTTTTTTTTTTTAATTAAAAAAATTTAGTTCGGATGCATAAACTTAAATCCTGACGTTCATCATGTAATTACTTTTGGAATATGTTAAATATAAAACCAAATGTTATTTAAGAGGGTCAATTGCAGAAGGTTTAGAAGGTACTTCAATAAATGCATTATCTGAACAAGATA